GCTATCATTGTTGTCCAAGTCATGCAGGCCAACCGGACTTTATTTGGAAGCATTACATCAATTTTCTTGACATGATCGTCAGTGCAAAGACTTTTGTTACACACTGTATATATACAATCTAAACTTTTACAAAAGAAAACTTAACAAATAGTTAATGTATAAAAACATGACATATATATTTCAGTAAAACAAGTACAACCTGAATATTGTACATCAACTTTTATTTTCAATTCAATTAATCTACTCTTTTCTTAATATTATTGACCCAATTTGAAACTTTAATAAAAGTGTATTTAAAAAAGGTATGAATTTAGGGAGGATACATTTAGGAAGGAAGGTTCGAATTTATCTACTACTACATTCATGCCAAGCTTATTCAGATAATATTCAAAAGTCCATCTATCACGATCGCGTATCTGTCTACAACACCCACATCATTCACAACCGCTTCGTCGAATTTATCTATCACATCTTTAAGTCTACTACAACATTCTCCATCACATGAGTTTCATTACACCTTACCCAGACAATATATTTATATACAATATAATTTTGAGGTCCGAAATTTCTATATTGATTAAAAAACGAATGAGCATTCTTTTGGTAAGCAATGGGTTCAACATGCATACTAGAAAACAATAATATAGTGTATATATTTATTTCTAAATAATAAGTTAATTCGACCCGCCAGAATCTTTACAATGAGAAAATTCTGTGATTGAAAACGCGTTCGCTGTTTCGTATTATTCCGATCGGATGAACGTTTAATCTATTACGTTTCGTATTCAAGAAATTTACACTGCGAATTTGGGACACGCGTAATAAATTGATAAGCTAAAACGCGTCATATTTCTGTGGAAAAAAAAGAATTGAGTTTCTTTTCTATATTTTATCAACTTTTTTTTCCTAGAATATTTAGAAAATAAGCAGTGACGCTTAAGTGACCAAGCTACATTAAGTGCATTAAGGTGAAGTGTGGAAGTCCCATATCAATGGACTTATAACGTGTAAAAGGGAAAACTTATGTGGAGAAAAAAAATGAAACCAATTTATTTTTCTTCATTATTTCCTAGATAGGACGTGGGTCTTCTAAGGAACTATTGTTGCGTTAGTGCTATTGGGATTTTCAAAGATATGGCATGTATAATGATACAATATTCTATTTTCTTTTAAGTTTCAATTTAATTTATCCTTTTTGTTCTTGACAAAAGAGCACACCTAGAAAATCATATGGAAAAGGTCTCGTGAAAAAGTTTCCGTTAAAAGTCAAGGAAAAAGTCAGTGTTGGTCTGACCTTTTAAGATTGAACATGAAATTCATAAATAAGATTAACTTATATTTTTAGACAACTTATCTCATGTCTCATTATAGTCAAATCCAAATCAACGCGGCAAAAGTCAAATTCCGAGAGCTTCGCCGAACAGTGGATATGAATTTCAGGATGCTTCCGATTCTGCGCTGAATCGACCCGATGAAGAAGATAATTACGATAACAATTCCAGTGATGAATTCGAAATAGTAAGCATTGGATTATCATCAAACAAAAGCTATTTACAAAAAAAATTTTTTTGTTTTTTAATGTTTTTGCAATCTAGTCGAATGTATCGCCATTGGAAGACGCGTCTGAAAAGCTCAACAACAATAATGCTGATGTCAAAGATTCAGAGGTAGTTTTTTTTATTGGTTCTTTAGTTAATAAATCATATTCTTTGTGATAATGTTATTGATGGTCTGTAATATAGTTGAACTTGGAAGAAATCAATTTCTCTCCTATAAATCCATTCGAAGAATCTCTCGACGACCATTCAGAAACTAAACAAGAAGATGAACTTGATTCTCTAAAAAATAATGAAGCTTTGGTCGAGGAAGAACCACCAGTCGAACAATTCAATGCTACCTTGGATCCTGCTTCTGAGCTGAAATTCGAAATAGAAAATAATCAACAAGAACAGGTTCGCATTTTACCCGATCTTGGTTCTTATGAATCTATCACGGAGCAATCAATTTTCGAGGAAGTTTATGATGCTGCCGCAAATACTCTTGCAGAATTCATTAAAGTCATCGAGTTAACAGTTCTCGATGCATCCAGATCGTTTCGTGTTGCTCCTATAAAAATTGGATTCTATGCTGATGGTACGGAACCAAAATTGTACAGTGGAACTAGAAACCTGGATAATTCGAAATTTTCCGAATTTGTCGAGAGCGGATACTATATGTTGGAGAATTGTTATCCTCATATAGAAGAACATCTCCAAACTATATTTCCCTGTTCTGAAGTTACTTGTGTCGCAGGAGAAGATTGTAGCACTATAGTTATCAGTAAGTTTATGAATTCGATGGCAGTTCTTAGGCATTTAAAAAAGAGAAGGATCGGATGAGGAATTATAGATAAATTTTATAAACATTCAATAAATTGTTTTTAATATAAAATCCACACAATTGGAAGTTTAAACCTCGTGGAGTGTGGGCATTTCACACAGCCACAACCTTACAGAGCGAACGTGTCATACAAATATGACTTTACAAGTTTAACCCTGCAAATTTAACAATAGGCTTAGGATCGATGTAATTTATAAAAGTCAATGATTCCCGGTTGGTTTCTTGAGTGTGGTTAATCAGCAAAGTTGGAAATCGTAATTTAAGCTCTTTCTCAATTTCCGTATAAAATTTTTGAATAATATAATAGCCATTCGTTCTGTAATGAGCAAATTTGGTATTCGTTATATTTTTCTGACCATTGTATACATATGGACCATCTCCATTTTGAAAATATGTTATTGATATGTTATTCTCGGTGATATTCTTGACGGAATCGATAAGAGGCTCCTGAAGGAGATGGATAAACTCGGTGAGAGTTCTAGCAGCCACTCTTTGTGATTGTTCCAGTGGATTTGAATCAGTGTCCTATAAATAAATAAATGAATATCAATAGACAATTGAGTCATGATTTAATGTTTAAACCTTACTTCACTGGGTTCTTCCATTCGAGTTTCAAAGATGGTCATTGCAGTAAACATAGAAGAGAGTTCTCACAATATTATGTTGATTTTATACTGTAGATCGTAATCTCATCAAATATCGTGACGATTGTGTGTAACATAATAAAAAGGAATGGTTAATTTGAAAAACAATATAACAAAACGTCATAATCTTTAGATTAATCTATTATTGAAAAACGTACATGTAAGTTGATGTTTCCTAAAAAGATATATAACAAGTAAAATTACTTTCTAACAAAACGTAATTCATTATTGTTTATTTTACAAATTATTGTTATAAATTATATACTAATGAAAATATGATAAAAATTTTTTTATTAATTATTTTATCAACTCAAAAGCAAATATTTTCAAAATATTTTATAAAAAAAATATATATATATATATATTAACATTAAGTTTTCAATTAGCAAAAAAACAGAATTTTTTATTTGCTTTTGATTTATTTTTTTATTTTATAAAAAGAAAATAAACAATAAAAAAATTCTTAAAATTTGAAAATTTGAAAAAACCATTTTAGTCATTATATATTTTTTTAATCTTTTATTTTTTTAAAAAATTTTTGCTTATCTTAGTTTGATTATAATTTTAATTAAAATTTAAAATTTATAAATTATATCCAATATAAAAAAAAAATAAACAAATTTTTATATATTATAATTATATAATAATATAATTTATTTTTAAAAAAGTTTAATAATTTTCAATTAAAAAAATAATTAAATATTAATAAATAAAATTGAGATTATAAATAAATAAATAAAAATTATTTGTTTATTATTATTATTATTATTATTATATAAAAACAAATAATTAAATCAAAATTTAATTTATAATTTAATTTAATAATATATTAAAATAACAAAATTTATTTTAATATAAAAATATTAAAACTATTTACTAATTAAATAAAACAATAATTTTATATAAAAATATGATTTAAAAAAAATTAATATTAATAAATTAATATTTCTTTTAATTAAATATTTTAATATAAGAATTTTCAAAAAATATTATTTGTTTTAATAAAATCAAATAGTTTAACTAATTATAAATAATTACAAACAAATATATTAATAATTATAAAAACCTTATATAATTCAATTTATTTCATTTTTTAAAATTAATATAAATATAAATATATATTTTCAAATTATTATTGAAAAAATTTATTATTAAAAAAAATTTATTAAGAGAAATTTCTAATAATTTATTATATAACTTATTATTATTTTTAATTTATATTATTCTTTATAAAAGTATATATTATATTATTTAATTATATACTGTACATATTTTAATTACATTTATTTTTTATATTGAAAAAACATATTTGTACTATATACGTATTTAAATAAAAATTGTTTTTTTAAAATAATAAAATTAGTTGGATTTTTTTTTTTAATTTAATAAAGGTTTTGTTAATTAATAATAAAATAATAGATTGTTTATAATTATTTTAATATTAAATACTTTTTATATGATATACTGTATATTTAAAACAGTTATAGTTTTCTAATATAATAAAAAATAAAATATATAGATTATCAATAACAAGTTTAGATATCTTTTCTATTAATTTGCAATAATCTATTAATTTTAATAATAGTTTATTATTAACTTGATAATAATTAATTTGATAAAAATATAACGATATAAAAGAAAAATTTTTTAAAATTAATAAATAATTTAATGTTTAAAAAAATCATATTATAATTGATATCATTTTTCAAGAAATAGATGTTTCACCATTACGGAAACAACTTTCTATGGACTTCCCAAATTTGTCCTTATCCGTTTATAAAATTAATCACTCAGTGGCTCATTATTGTTACAAAAAGAGATAATCAGCGGGGCTAATTTTAGATTTGCAAGAATTTGATCAGTGTGTGTATTTATTTTTAGGACTAAACATACAAAAATGATCGGATATGATCTTGTACGCATTAGGATATGCAATCAAAATAACAAATGAAGTATATTATGTATCGTGAAACAGATCATCTTTCTCTAACGTCTTTCAAGACTTCAAGAGTCAAAAAAAATGTCAAAGCAATCTGGCTGGAACAAATATTTCCATCAGGATCAAGCCTATGATACAACTTATAAAACATCTCAACCAATACCTTCTTATGATGAAAACCAACCGTCACAACGATTATCTTATTTTGCATATACGGATGACTACATTCCTGCTCAAAACACCGATTCAGAAAAAGGAATAAGCGAAAAAGCTGTTGATCCTACAGACCCTTCCTTCTGGGATACATCGCATAATGCCACTACTAGTCGTGAATTAACCGAGCCTAGTGCTCCGCCCGCGTCCGTGGGCGATATGGAAGAAACGCCACAAAATTCGGCAACGATAGCGACGCAATATGGAAATTTAGAGAGTGAGGAAACTTACGAAAGTGACGAAGCAGTAGCCAGACGTGTGCTCCAAGAAGAACAAGAACAACTTCATAGGCAGGGTTTATCTAGTCGATATTTTCCACCAGGTGAATCAGAAAGTTATTATGCCGCTTATAACCAACCTGAAGCTTCAACTCGTAGTGGAGGACCACCACCACCTTCAACATATAACGAAAAAGCAATAGACGATTCTTACGTGCAAAATCAGATGGCAAAAAAAACCGTGTGGAGACCTTATTTCACATGGGTCGTTACTTTTGTGCAACTCATTATGTTGATTTATGAATTTATTGATAATAAAAATTTAACAGGAGAATTGATAGAGACAAATCCTTTTAACCCCATGATTGGTCCTGGAACAGCTGTTAGTATTTTATATCTATAGTTACTTTTTTCTTGCGAAATATCTAACAATGGCATTCGTAGACTCTAATCCAATTGGGAGCTCGTTTTGTTCCTTGTATGAAACCCAATGTTACCGGAATCAGCAGCAATGCCTTGTTTGAATGCCCGAACACAGGGTCTACGGGCTGTACTTTGGAACAACTTTGTGCTCTTGGTGGTTTCAAGAGTGGTCAACCAGACCAATGGTATCGATTCATCACACCAATATTCCTTCATGCTGGAATTGTTCATTATGCTTTGAATATGGTTTTCCAAGTATTTACTGGAGCTCAAGTAGAGTCTGACATGGGGTGGTGGAGATATAGCATTATTTACATGGCAAGCGGTATATTTGGGTTTATTTTCGGAGGAAATTTTTCTTCGCCTACAATTCGTAAGTCCCATGAATGCTACCTATTTATTTAAAATCATTTTTATAATAATCGTAATAAGTTCTTGTCTAAATTATCTAGCTACCATGGGTGCATCCGGCAGTCTATTTGGTGTTGTCGGTGTCATACTTCTGGAACTTTTGCAAAGCTGGAAGATTATCAGAAACCCATGTTGGGAACTCACTAAATTATTAGCTATAATTATTATTTCTTTTTTGGTGGGTCTTCTTCCATTTTTTGATAACTTTTCACACATTGGTGGGTTTTTGATGGGCTTGATAACCGGGTGTGTTTTAAATCCTACAATCAACTTTTCGAAATTCCACAAACGTGCAAACTGGATCATCAGAATAGTTGCGCTGCCCATATCTGTGCTCCTGTTCTATTTACTTATCCATAATTTCTATACGACTAACCCAAGTGAATCGTGCCCATGGTGCAAGTACCTTAGTTGCTTACCGGTTAACGGTTGGTGTGACAACACCGGATTAACGAACACAACACAAACTAACTAATACCAACTAATGAAAGTTATGGCATTAAAGCCCTTCACTATTCCTGTAATGGTTTCACAGTTACCATGTAACAGTATTATATGTATTTATTTAACAATGTATACATAGCCTTATCTATTTTTCTGGTTTTTTTTTCTCTTTTCATTAAAAAGTGTGTAATGTTTTAAATTAAAACCAACGGTAATTACTAGAATTATTTATTGACCTTTTTTTTTTAAATTATTACGAAGCAATTTCCGGATATCATGGGTTCGGCTACCTATTCAACGGGTTATATGGTATATAACGTATGGGAATCTAATTAATCGCGTTAAGAAGTCAACCTATCGACAATTCTAATTATCTATGGTTAAAAATATTAATCTTTTTTTTTTCTAAGAGGCAAAAAAACCTAGACGTGTACTACAATTAAAAAAAAAATGAAGCTAGAATTCTTTAATGAGCCATCTTAGGGAGATGTGAACGAAAAAATCAATAACACTTATTTCTAGACTCTTCTTTTCTTCATAGATTGATTCAACTCGTTGAAATTAGAAACAATTTTCGGGCTATTAAATTATGAAATGTGAAACGGAAATACAATTAATATTTTAAATCAATCAAGAAATAATGTACTTACGCTACAGATTTGACAAATGCATTCTCGCTTGGATTCAGCCTTTTTTTCCCGGTGTTCTGATCAACATTCGTGCTGTCACTTAATTTTAAGTCCTTCCTATGATTTTGAACCTGCTTTTTTGGGGATGCCTTGGTCTTTTGTGGAGACAATGTAAAATTGCAATTTGTTTGAGCTTTCATTTGAACAAATTTTTCGTCAGGGGAATTGAGATCTGGTACTCCCTCGTAAGTAAAGTTTTTTTCCGTTCTCTTTATAGGACTACAATCACCATCGAATACTACAATTTTTAGAATGAGTGTTAATTCAAAAAACTTTTATAGTTATACATAACACGCAACTTGTAGACGCCTCACCAAGACAATCTTTTGATAATGGAGATTGGTTTGTCCGAGCATTTTGAAAATCCGCGGCGCAGGAAAACATAAAACTACTATATTCAAAGTTTGAGTAAAATTATAAATAAATAAATTTGATCGAGATCGAGTTTTGATAGGAAAAGGTAATATTTACTCATCAAATTCGATACCAGTCTCATCCACCATAAAATCTGAAAAAAAAGATCCCATTTTGTCGTCAAATTCTGTTTCCAAAGGTTGAAATTAACAGCTAATTGCAACTTCCTAAATCACCGTATCTAGTAACGACATCGAATTTTTTACCTGCATACATTGCTGCGATCGTTGCCGGACTTGGTTTATCTACGGGAAATTATGGAATGAATGCGAATATAGAAAATTTCATAAAGCGAGTGCGAAATCGTAAATATTAATAATAAGACGCGAACCCAAATCGGTGCCAGTTGGTTTAGTCGGAATAGAGTTCTTATTTGGAAGTTCCTTTACCGGAGTTGAAACCGACTCTGCCTTGACATTTGCCTTTTCTGAACGAATATTTAAAAAGATTGACTTACTCGTAGACACATTCTCTGAAGCTGCCGATGAACTTTCACGATTAGCTTGATTCAAGGAGGGACCAGTTGAACCATCTTTGTTATGAATCTGATTTGCCGACTTGTAAATTGGAACCTTACTATTTTTAGAATCGCCAGTCTGATTTGAGACATTTTCATTTGTAGCTTGTGTTCCGAATGTGTTAAAAGAAGTGCTAACTTGGGGATCCGATGTATTTTCTCTATCTGTGGTTTTATGAAGATCGGTTGCTGCACTAGTTCCGTTACCTGTTACTTGTTTTCTCAATGACAATGATCTGCTCGTATGACTTGTGTTATTTGATTGATTTGGCGAATTATGCAATTGATTTGTCTGACGCGAATCTGGATTTCCAAATGTAGCTTGTATATTGGATTTATTAAACGGCTGATTCAAGATATTCTGAGAGCAATTGTTTATTAAATGTTGTGATGAAGAGGCAATAGAACTCCTATTATGACTTTGATCTTGATTCTTGGAATATGACAGAGAGGAAACACCCTCACGTTGGGTGCAAGAAATTTCATTCGCGTTATTTCCTTGACCGGTAACATTTTTACAAGAATCATTAGGTCGTGAAAATTCTGGCAATCGATATAAATTGTTGACATCGAGTTTAACCTATGAAAAGATAGCATTGATTTATTTGGATAACTTTGGATGATTCAATATTTTATGCGTTTTACACACCACTTACCGGAGGTGTTTTTATCTTTACAATTTCTGCTGTATAATTTCTGCTGTAAAGGCAATTCCCCAACATGTTACCAAACGTTCTCAAAGCTCGTTTCAATGCATCGGTCATAGCCTCCTTCTTCGCCTTTTCAAATTTACAATACTTTGTTATCTTTGATTTATAGTCAAGTTAACATTGTATGTACTGTACGTAATATATAATGGCTACCTTTTCAAATGCTGCAGCTTTGGATTTTTGATTTTCACATGATCCATAACCAACATCCTATGAAGTATACTATAAATAAGCAAGAACCCACAAGAGCAAAGTATGAATAGTTGCTTCTTACCGCATGATAAGTACCGTCCTTGAGAATCACCTTACAATTAGCGGATACACCAACGGAATAACGACCAGTGTCAGAACAGTCAACCTATTTAATATGGCGTGTAACAAAGTACCGAAATGTTAACTCTAATAAGTGAATTATCAAGAAATATTATTATACATACAAAATCGACAGTAAGATCTTCAATACTGGACGACCACCCGTTGAAGCCAAAGACACTGTTGGCTAAATTAATTAACTTCCACCCCTCAATATAAATTAATTTTCCAGCTGTTCATTTGAAATAAGTTTAGGTAGAGCTTCGATAATTTGCGAAAGTCTCAACATGATTTTTACTTACCTCCAGCGGGACCAGGTCGAGAACTTATGAATTCTGGGCCTAATTGTTTACTTAGTTTCTCTTGAATTCTTTCAAATTCCTCAGGCGTATATGAAGTAGCGCCCCGAAAAGTTTCGGACTCTCTTTTCACTGCACACGAGAATGGATTCTGACGACCGCCGTTGGGGATCATATTGACCATAAAAGTGTTGGATTTTCTTAGGACAGGTGTTCCAGAATGGTGGTACGAGACGTGTAATATTCGTGACAAAAAAGATTTGCTACGTATTACGTATTTGTTGATATCTAGCGCGAAATCGTAAAATCGTAACATAATCATGTGACTAATATTACGTATTGAAGTCTTTATACTAGCTTCAAGAATCTCTTCAATATGATAATTAGCCACAGTAAAGATTTTATAATATGGGTAATTATTTTTGAAGGCGATGAAAATGATAGGTGTGTTTTTTTGAGCCCTACTTTATACAATACATATAGTATCTGAAAAATCCCTGTCCACCTTCAAAAATAATTACCCATATACGGACAATGCACTTTGTATAGTTACATACCCTCCTTTAATGTACTTTTTGTTTAGTCCCAAATCGGGAAATAATTATTATATAATTTTGGATTTATTAATTTCAGTTAGATTTAACTGAGCTTAATTAATTTCAGCTAAAAGAATTATATTTACCTATTTTATTTTTTATTTTTTTTTATTATTACAAACAGGCATCATATTTGAAATTTTATTTAATGAAAAATTTGTTTATTTTTATTACAATATTAACTGATATTAAATAAGTGAATTTAAATTATAATTTTAAAAAAAATATACATATATAAATTTATTTAACTCAACTTATTTATTAATAATATAAGATCTTTAAATACAATTTATAAAGATAATAATAACTTATTTATTAAATAAATTGATTTTAAGTTTTTATAATAAAGTTAAAGTCTATAAATCTTAATCTTTTTATAATATATATACTGTAATTATATTGTAAAAAAAATAATTTTTCCTGTACACAATATTTTCTAAAAAATTTCTTTTATAATAACTTTTTAAAAATTAAAGAAAAAAATATCTTTTTCACTTCTCAATATTTATAAATCCTCTATATTTTTTTAGTCTTTACTACAAAAGTCTCAAGAAAATCAAAGAAAATCAAAGAAATATATTGATGCATTAAAATAGGATCTTTGGTCAAGAAGAAACAAGTTTAGAGATTCTGTTTTCTTCTTGAATTGCACGAGGAAAGACTTGTGGCATTTATTTTTTATAGATTTTCTTTAGAAATTCTTTTATTTTTATTTCTTATTAAAATATTTTTTTTTTTTGTTAAAGAATCTTTTTTCAATACAAAACTTAAAACTTTATATCAAAACTATATATATTGTTAGCTTGAGGAATTAGCAATAAATATAAAACATAACTTTTAATATTATTTAATACACTATACTGTACTACAAAAAATCCAAAAATTTTTTTCAAAAAACTTTTTATTAAAAAACTATAATTAGCTTATCTCTGGTAATTGATTAATACTCTAGTTCTAACCAATTATATCTTATAAACCATCAAAACATATTTATTATATTTATTAAGAATTAATATAAACAATATTAAAAATGGAAATCCATATAATTACATAATCTTTTATTATTAATAAATATTAAAATAACAATCATATTCTATCAAATATCAATAAAAAAACAATAATTAATAAGTTCAAATGATTATTAAAAAACCTTTCAATATTTTTATTCTTTTTAAACATCAGTCTAAAAATAGCTTATATTAACAAAAGTCTGGAAGTGGCTTATACCAATTAACTTATATCTTATCCAATTAACCATTATACAAACAACAGCAAAATTACTATTAATACTATTACCAATTAATTACTACCACCACATATTATCAGCTATCAAAAATTTATGTTATCAATATTATTATATATTTTGAAGAGTAGTTTGGCCATTTGGAAAGTGTATTAACATATACTTTGTAGAAGTGAAACTATCAGAGTAGCATATCCAATAGGCCTTCTTTATTTTATAATCAGTTTTTTTTATATTTATACTTGTCTAACATATTTTCTTTTTCATCTTATTTATGTTTTACTTTCTATTTATTATATCCTATTAAATTATTTGAGTATGTAAGTATAGTTACTATCCTTAGCTATATTTAGCATACAATATTGTTTTAAATTTTTTTTTTGATATTAGCTAAATATAAATAGTATAGGAAAGCTAGTATTAAACTTGCTACTATTGCATATAACGGATGTTGTTTCTTTCACAATATATATTTTTTAAATATATAAATTAAATAAAAAAATAATATTTATCTATTGAAAAATATATATATATATATATTTATAGCAAGCAATAAAAAAAGAAATCAAGAAATTGAAAGAATATTATAACAAAACAAATACAACAGTATATACAGTTGCAACAAGTAAATTATTATATAATTTAAAAATAATTTTTAAAATAATTTAATTATATTTATTTCAATTTATAAGTATTGAATCCATAACTCAAATTGCAATATATGAAAAAAAATGAATAAAAAGAAAAATTAATAATAAAAATTAAAAATAAAATATATAAAACAATTATTTCAATTTGTAAAATTAATTTACTTGAATTATATTTAATAAGTATTAAAAATTTATCATGAAAAATATACACTAAAAGAAAAAGAAAATATTGAAATTGAATATAATATAGACAATAAAGATTTAATTTCACATATTTTTAAATAATCAAATTTGATATCAAATTAATTTGAAATGTTTTTAAAAAGTAAAAATATTCCAGCACTTGTTAATATTTTAAATTAGTGAAAAGTAAATAATAATTTTATTTTTTTTTATTTTTTTTAATTGCAAATAAGCATTAAATACAAAAGTATAATAATTTTAAATTATATTTGTAAAACTATTTACTGTATTTATAATTATTTTTAATTTAATTATATTCCAAAGAACTTTTTCACTTAGTAATAATTGCACAAGATTATTTAGCAATTCTAATAACAAGTGCTTTTACTAAAAAAATTTTTTCAAATGCAAGTGATTTAATTACTTGAGAAAGTGCATAATTAATTGCCAATACAATTTATACTATTATGTGTTTGAAATATTGATATAGTTTAAATATATATAAATAAAATTTATTAATAGATCTAATGTAATTAGTCATTCAAGTATTATCCAATGTATATATAAAGTAATAAAAATTATTATTAAAAATTAGCAAAATTTCACTTATATAAATGAAATATTAACAATTATATATTATTGTTTTAATAATACAAGTAGGAATCATATCAAATCAAATCAGTTTGAATTTTAACTAAATTCAATTCAATTTATTTTTTAGATATATAATTTGTATTTGATTCAAATATAATATAAC